ATTGGGTACAATACGCTTGCCTATATGTGTATTTGGTTGAATTCATGTGTAGCATTTGAACGTGTTTTAATCATATGTTTCGATATTAAAATGAATGCTAATCGATGGCGATCGTAGTCTACTCTTATTTGTCTCTTATTAGTAGCCGGTGGCTCTGCTACGCCATTTCTCGTATACAAGTGTGACTTGGTTAATGTACCAAATTTAAGTATAGTACAGGAGTTTTTCACTTTTTTTTACATTATTGTAGGTGTTGTAATTTATTTATTGGCAACCGTGTTAGTCTTAATCAGTTTCGCACGTCGTATATATCAATACGGCATGGAAAATTGTTCCCTCATAATAACATTTCTTAAACTATTTTGCACGCATTTATTTATCTTTGTACCACCGATTGCTTATGGTATCAGCTGTATTCCATACGCTATTACCTACAGAGTACGTAAACCTAACCAATCATATTTTTCATGTGGTATTTCAACTGGAGAATTTATTATAAAGGTGTTAGCAGACACAGTGGCGGGAATACCGGTTGTTATGACATAGTTGATCTTTGTTTACCCATCGAAAGTGTATATGACCGAGTTTTATATGAACACATGGTCAGGACAATGTGTTGCTAACATTTTAATCTTCTTCAAAGCAAATCTTAACTGAAAAATGAGTGTTCAACCTTCTACTACCAATCTCATAAATAACGAACATGATAATAGAAAGTTATACAAAGCAAATTATTCATTGAGAAATATTTATTTATTATTGCGTTCAATGCCCTATCTTGATCATGATAGAGTTTGAGAATTTTGATTTGCTTCCAGTTTTTGTCTTACATGTTGGCTGTGTAATAACAATTCATTCTGACTACAAACGTTTTCTCAATAAACAAGAGTGAAACTAAATACCACGAAGATAGACCACCAGTTGGCACATGTTTTACTACATTTTATTTTTGATTTGTTATTAAACACAAAAAAATTATCAAAGGATTGTATTTTCACATAACTATGATTTGACTGTTTCGGTCTCGAATCGCGTACAGCTCTCAAATGATACACCTTTTCCGGAAACTGATAATGTAACGAAAGGTAGCTGCAAATGTTCTTGAGAATAATTATATACTATAACTATTCGCCCTTTTTTCTTTACACATAACACAAAGTCTCAGCATGACAGACATCGTTCGTATATTGTACTCGCCACTAATGAACTAGGGGGTGGGTAACAGTGGGCAACTTTCGTATATCAGGCGGACATGAAATTTTCGTGCTGGGCAATGAGTTTTTATTGCTCAGAAGTGATTATATATCACTTAAAAAACTACCGTTAAGAAAATAAATCATTTCTTTAAAAAAATTTTTTCCCAAAAAATATCCGTAGGGGACCCTTGCTACGTTTTTAGAAAATAATTTTTTGTTACGAAACATAATGTTCCGCACATCATTCAACATAGATTCACGCGATGATTGCGAATATCGACTTATTTTTTCCCTAGGAAGCTATTTTGTGGAAAAAATAGGGATTTAGGGTAAAAAACCGGGGTTCTTTGGAAAATCCGTAACTTCGTCGACGTATACTATTGAATTTTGACAGTATAGACAAGGAGAGATTCTACACGGATGAATATTACACTCAAAGTTTGAGCTGAATTCGATTGAAGCTGTTTGTAACGTTTACAAAATCGGGAAAATCAATTTGTAGGAACATTTTTAGCATAATAGTGAGAAAATTTTTTTCAAAAAAACGCTTTTTATTATATGTGGTTCGATGCAGCTCGATGAGCTGATTCCGAATATTACCTTGCTTTACAAAAATAGGGATTTGGGGACAAACACCTCGGCTTTCGGGAGACCCGTGGCACCAGCTGTGATTATGGGTGCAAAAATTGCACTATTATCACCGATGCACCATATGTGGGAGAATAATAAGCGAAAATTTGAGATCAATCGCACTTAAGCTCTTTGTAGCATTTAAAAAATACGAAAAGGGTGATTTTCAAAACATTGTCGCTGCCTAAGCACCGACTTTTTTTTTAGAAACACTTACTGTTATATATGATTCGATGTAGTTTGACGAGCTGAATTCGAATGTTACCTTAGTTTTGCATCAAAATGTTCTCAAATTGTCTAAACTTTGGATTCAGAGGCAGAAGCCTGGTTTTTCAGGATGATCATAACACATTGAAATGTGCGACGTTAAAGATTTTGATGCCATTCAATTTTCTTAAGGACCTTTAACACTTCGATGTTATTCAAAGAATAGAATCTTGAAATTGTAGGTGCTCAGATTAGTCATCATAATGTTATGTGACGATAGATTTGTAAAAATATTCACGATCATGCATGACTGTGTCGCCAATCACGATCGATGATCGTTGGCGAAGGAAAATAGTGGAAATGTGAAATTCTACAATCCAAAAATTCAAGAAAGACTCGAATTCTTTGTAAATTTTGTGTGAATTCTAAAGAACTTCTTATCATTTCCTGAATGTTGGGTCCGTCATTTCTATCTTTTTTTTTGTATTTGAGTTAAGTTGTTTAATCCGAAGTAATTCAGAAGATATGAACCTCTCATATACCTGCTATATATTAAGAATTTTCTTCGTTTCGTATTTTTAAAAAATGCTATTCATTATATTGTGTTTATTTATGAAGACCAAAGATATGTATCGAAAACGGCGTAAACTTGTTTAATCGAGATAAGTACTTATGTGTGTCAATGACAAAGATCTCAAACATGCTATTAGAAATCTGTCAGAATTACTAATGTTTACCAACATATTTCCGTTGAATAGAACTAGAATTGAAAAACTCTGTCGAATTTTCCACGATATTGTTGAAACCTTTGGAATCACCTAGAAGTTGCTCGAATTCATTTGAGTTCTTTACATTTTTGAATGTCTCTGTGGTTCCATAGAATACTATGTAATACCAGAAAAGTCCAGGAAATCCACTATTTTTCTTTGTCTTTGGTCACTTCTATAAAAACTAAAGCAATGTAAATTGCATGCAAATTATCACAATTTTTCGGAATTATCACTGAAAATATCATTATCAAGTGTTTGAATCAGTCGGAAAAATCTTCGTGATTGTGACATGACTTAAATCGAAAATTTGTAGTAACGCATGTCTCTATATATGAGTAATAAGTTAGATCAGTTCCTAACTTTTTGACTGTCTTAGCATGCTTTTAAGATGATCTGTCATATGATATAAAGCTTATGGAAACTTTGATTCTTCTTGTAAAGGGTGATTTAATATAAAGATCAAACAGACAAACTTGTTTTTTCTCATCATCATGAACATGATCAGGAAAATGACCTGATGATATTATGTTTTCTTTCAGAATAGTTAAGAAAGAGAAAAGAACTGACATAGATGATAAACATGATTGAACTCCATATAGAACTGGTTTATCAAAGTCAAGGGCACCAAAGTAATCGTAAGATGATGATATGGCCAAGTGCTTTCGATAAGAATGTCCATCTGTTACTATTCTGATTCGTAAATACTTATACGAATGAGAGATGTTAGTCTTTTTATTGATACATACATTGAAATTAGAACCTAGTAATAGAAATGGGAAAAGGAGACAATGATTTACTGGATAACACGAACAGGAAAATATTCGATGATAATGTCGTGAAATCACTCCAAAAACATATCCTATACATTGACTAACGTGATTGACACACCACGTATCACCAGTTGATAATGAGATTTATGGCTGCAATGATCACATAGCTGAAAATATTCGGGAAATAAAACGATTATTTCATAGAGTTAGAAATCCAAAAGTGGCTGAAATAAAATCGACGAATGAACTCACATCGATCTGTTCCAACCCTTCAAATGAACCATGTCTCGATATGATTATTAGCAGTAAAGGAATGAATATAAAAGTTCATTTCTCTAGATGATTTCTAACATAGCAATGCAAAGTTATCTCAACCGATAACTTTGTATGACAAGTTTTGAAGATTTTGCGCCAAAAAGAATACCACTGTTAAGAAATCATTATCTATTTTCTTCTCTGATCTCTCTACTCCTATAAGTTATTATTTTACGTGAAAAAATTACTAATGTGAATATGAAATAGGATAATAAACATCTCTATTGAAATTAAGAATCACGCTATATCTCGAGTTGATTGGTAAATATTACTTCATTTTACAGACTTATTATATGCCTTTAATTATCTAACGTATGCTTTTTGCTATCGATGTTTATTTTGAACAGTATAATCAAAATCAGTTTGTCTAACCATTTTCGCTTTTTTGTATATACAAATAATTAAATCTCTATTCTCATTTTTAACCATTTATCATCTCACCTACGTGACAGTTCTGTTCCTTAATCTAAAAATCACAGTGAAATTTATAGCCACTTTTAAGTAACTCAGAAAAATTCTTAAAAGAATATCAGTCATGATCTGTTGGTCTTAGTAGAATCGAAGTATATTGTCACGAAAAATGACAAATAAAGAATTAAAGCTTAAACGCTCTCAAACGAATAAAGAACCTTTTCTGTTCAAGTCCACGAGAATTAACAACAATAGTGGCAGTTTAAAGTTGAGTTGTAATAGAAAAAAAGAAAAATGTCACCTACTGTGTATGTTAAAAGATAAATGTCCTTTACAATCGAAGTATATCTCAATATTTTATAACAACAACAGTGTTGATTAAGATTTTTTTTACAACTATGAATGGTACTTTTGCTCATTTTTCCTTTCGAAAAACGCGATTTCTCACCGTATATTAAGCTTATTAGAAGAGCAAATGCCATTTGAACTGTTAGTTTTTGATTTCATAAGTAGACACAAAACATTAATAGAATAGCATCTCTCATACAATATAAACATGGTCGCAATGACGATCTTGCCAGGGTGTGGATGTGAATGTAAGTGAAGGGAATATCCAGACCCATCCACACCCTATTTGAATGTATCATTCCATATTTAAATTTCATATAATTATCGGCTTTAAATGAACTTTCATTAAGCCATCAATGTGATGAAAATGTATAAAAATTATTTCCACCATATTTCCAATATTTTCCATACATGCATTTATTTATTGGATCATCAATTACTAATTGAACATAATACTTTGATTGAGGAGAATCAGGAATTGAATATGAAAAATGTTCCATAATATAGGAAGTTTCTCTTGATGAATTATTTAAAGCAATTGTTTTATAAGCTTGTTGATTTATTTCATCAATTGCAAATATTGTTTTACCATTATTAGGAGAAAATACAACTTGAGGTGGAAAATATGGTTGAATATATTCTCAAAAATAATAATAGAGAATAAATGATATTAAATACAAAAAGATTTTCATTATCTAAAATAATTCATTGACTAAATATCAATGAAATCTTATCAGAATATGTTTTCTTTTGGCACACAAAAACAAATTGTCATGAAATGATGAGTTGATAAAACACTATTCTAATGCTTTTTCATTCTTATATTTGTTGATAATACTTTTTTTCACATATATCATCATATCACCTGTGTTAGCTTCTCATAAATAATATCACTCTTGTTCTATTGTTCTATTGCGAAATAAAATAAAGTAATACCTTTTTCTTTTTTTAAATAATCGAGTAAAATGACGAACTTACAATAAAAATATTCACTAATCAAGAAAGTGCATTAAAATCGATTTTTGAAAATCGAATCAATCAATTTGAAATCAAAAGTTTCTTCATTATTTTCATAGAAATCTAATCGATTATTCTTATTGTGATGTGTAAATTACATTGAAAATCATAAAAGAATAAATAGAGACTTTGACATCAACTTGAGAATTTTCAATAATTCACAAACGAATCATAATGATGAAAATAAACTATATATTTTGTTTCAGAAGTGATCTCAAGCTTCATTAGTACTCAGAACTATACAAAATTTAGAGTGCATCGAGTCCATGTATGAGAAGTTGTATTTTCTCAGAAGTCTAATTCATGTCCTCAATATCGTTGATCACACTTTCTTATGCGAATTGGAAGGTAACTTCAAAGACACTAAATGTCTTTTCCGATTATTTATATTTGACGGTTAATACACTTTGCACATTATTCATGTGGTCGTGAATATAAGATTGGTAAGGTCCTACATGATATTATTATCAGTCAATCGAATTCGACGTCTGCGTCAACTGAATTCCACTCTGACACAAAATGGAAACAAGTTCATAAAATACGAAGTATATTCTTTCTACTATTTCATTTCTCTTTGATTCAGATATCGTTCTATAAAAATGAGTAAATAATGATTTTTATTTTTATTTTTGCAATTGAAGTATTCTTTTGATGAGAACTTTATTTTGTCTATTTCATAAAGATTCAAGATGAAAAGAAAAGAAATTATTCAATAAATATAGGATAAATATCTGGTGTAATAAGATCGAAACCTCCACCATTAAAAATTGGAACAAGAGTTGTTTTGGGTCCATTTTTAACACGAGTTATTGTCAATATTTGTCTTTCTTGAAAATTTACCCCATTAAAATATAATTCTTCTGGTGATAGTTTAAAACAATTATAACATTCTTTTGATTTCCATTGAATGCGGACAGTATCATTTCCATTTATTCGATGTGGTGGAGTTATAAGCCACACTTCAATTTTTGAGCTTTGATTTAAATCTATTTTTGATGTTTGTGGATAGTATAAAAGACCAAGCATAACATCTCGACAAGCAACAGACCAATTTTTTGGTATTGAATCAAATAATTTATCATCTGGTTTTCCCACTGATATGGTTTTGTAATATGTTGTAAATTGTCTAATATCCCATCCTCCACGTGCAACTCGAGTTGATCGAAGAGGAATTTGAGTATTTTTTTGAAAATAAATTTCTTCACATGGGTAAGTTTGTCCACTATCAGTTTTACATGTTACATTTGAATACCAATAATCTTCATTCACAGACGAATCTTTTGAGTGAATCATTCCATAATTAAATTTCATATAATTTTTAATTTCAAATGAACTTCCATTAAGCCAATATGAAGGAAATGAATTAAATGTATTTCCACCATATTTCCAATATGTTCCATACATACAATTGAGAGGTGGAAAATCTACTAATAATTGAACGTAATATTTTGATTGTGGTGAATCAGGAGTTGCATAGGGAAAATTTTTCAAAACAAAAGATGTTTCACTTGCATAAGAACTTAAAGTGATTTTTTGATAAGCTCTTTGATTTATTTCATCAATTGCAATTGTTGTTACACCATTATCAGGAGAAAATACAATTTGAGATGGAAAATATGGTTGCGCACATTCTCCTTTATAACACCACAAGATAAATGATATTAAATACAAGTGTATTTTTATCATTTCAATATTCTAAAATAATAAACTCAATGTAGATTTATCAGAATATAACACAAAAAATAACTCGTCATGAAATGATGAGTGGACAGAACAGAGTATTATCGTATTTTTTCGTTCTTATGATTGTCAATAAAAAAATTTTCACACATAGTACCATACTACTTGTGTCAGCCTTATCACAAATAATATTAACTTAGTTCTTTTCTTTTTGTTACTCGAAAGAAAACAATCCTTTTTTTTAAGTATCCGAGTAAAAGGATGACGTTACAATAAAATATCTACTGATCAAGAAAACGTGCCGAAAGGGATATTTAAAAACCCAACTTGGATGAAAATAAACTACATTTTTCATGTACGAACCAATTTCAAAGTTCATCAATAGTGTGGGTGTGGGTGTGGGTGTCGGTGTGCTGGTTAAGAGAAGAAGCACACCCACACCCTCCTTGACTAAAATCAGGTGAATGATGAATCTTTCAATTTCGACCATATTCATCATCTATGGAACGACAGAAATCCCAAATAGCTTTGAATAATTGAAAATTTTCATGGCAAATGCCTAGAATATTTTAAAAATGCACACTATACTTTATTGCGTCGCCCCCTAAATTTAAGATTTTCGAGAATTCCATTTCAAATCTAATGGATGTCTTTGCGGGCTGATCCTAAGTGTGCTGAATTGAAAAGTCATCCATCGTATACTGTTTTCTAAAATGCATCACAAACACATACCTATTCCACCGACAATAGTATCGCCTGCGGTTGCACCGGGAAGTCATCTTTGTGCTCTATGATTGCTTGTATCAATTACGTACACAACATTTGTTTTTTCATCGACGAAAACATCATTCGGAAAATCCAATGTTGCATTATCGGAACCTTCAGTGCCGTTCCCAGTCACAGTAAAGGCTTCTCGAGCATCTTTTGGCCATTTTTGAATTCTATTATTCCACATGTCAGCTACATACACTGTGCGACTATCTCGAGTAACGTATATCCCTTGAGAATGATCGACAAGTGCACTTGCCGAGCCACTTGAGTTTTGTTTTTCCAGCGAGGATGGTACCTGTATTCGTTCGAGGTGACCAGTTGACTACTTGATGACTATTCGACTCGAACATATAAACATTTTTCTCTTTGTCAACTGATACACCTGAACATAAGGAACATTCATCACCCACTTGTACACCTTTCGACGCTCCTTTGGTCCAGTTTTCGACACGATTCAAAAATTGAAGTGAAACGTAAACAACTGGTCCAGCATCTTCATCAACATAGACTTTCATTGGATTCTTCACATCAGACGCCACGGTAACACCCATCGACGATGATCCAATCGGTGAAAACATTTGAAAACTAGAGTTACCAGCCTGGCCGGTGCCAGTCACTGTGACATCTGTTGTATTCCATTTCGCACAAGGGCTGATCGTGGTCAATGTCGTTGACACATAGGAGTACAAGATGAAAACTTGATGAAGAAACCACTATTAATATAGTTTCCTTTTCAAATATGATCACTTTTGAAACTTACCACTATAAATTGCAAGAATCTTCATTGTTGAAGACAGTCGATGTCATTCAAAAACGAAACCAAAAGTATAACACACAACAGGGACAGCAAATGAATATTACATGCAAGTTTGAGAAAGATGATACACTCGTATTTGTTATATGCGCGATAGATGGTATGCAGTGTCATACAGCATATCATCCTTGTGTGCTACAATTTTTAAAATACAGAGTCATTGTAACATATATTGCGGTCAAATCAAAGGATGAGGAATCATGAGGCCACTAGTTGATATTCGATATTGTCGAAAATAATAACATGGCAATAGCACACATCAAGAAGGCTATTTAATCCATCGAAATTGTTTCCGGTATATTTATTTATGATTGTCCGTTGAGAGTACTCGATTAGAATAGAAAAAAGCTGCTGCAATCTTTCAGACGATCAAGAAGCTATTATTCTTCGTATATCATTCGATTTGCCACCAGAGTGTGAGGATGAGGGTGTGAAAAACACAGACACAGTATCTTCAGGATTCGCCGTCAACACCAAGACACGACATGTGAGAAGAGCTGACATTTCACCAGTAACTCATAAAAAATTTTCATTTTTTTAAAGTTTTTGAATTCTGGATGATCCCAGTGAAAAACTTTCGATTAAGAATCCGATTTTTGTGAAACAAAATCAAGATTTTAATCGATTAAGTAGATTTCCTTTGTGAGGAAACAAAGGAAATCTACTTAATCGATTAAAATCTTGATTTTGTTTCACAAAAATCGGATTCTTAATCGAAAATTTTTCACTGGGATGACGAAAACAATTCAGGCAAAAGATCTTCGAGTTATCTAGTCAAGTCAATTTCGAAAAAGTTCAAAAGATTTCGAAGTTTGATCGACTCTAATGAAATGATATCGATATATTTTTCATCCATCTTGACGAAAATCAATGGAGACTGAACTATTTTATCTGATAAAGTGTTGCTACAACATTTGAAGAAGAACATTTTTGTTCTCTGTTCAATTTTGATCAAACTTTGAGAAATTGACCGTGTCAGTTGACTGAATTGAACTTTTTCAAATTTCGTCGGAAGACAATCAATCAGAGATAAATCTAATTCGATTCGAATTGACACTTTTCTTTCGAGATCTTCATTTCGACATTTGAACAAAAACTGATCGAAATTAGAAGCGAACTGTGAGAGAATTGATGATGATACTAAACTCTTTCGTTTGTTTATGTTCACCTACGATCGACTCGATGTATCGATTGATCATCTCAAGCCAACACTTCTGTTAAACCCATCTGTATAAAAAGAAATATGCGAATCGACATTGGTCCTTGAATGCTGATAATGATGATAATGCCAATAATCGATCAGGTTTTGTAAATTGATCATTCTTTTTTTCGTGCACATCAAATTCCTAGCAGCTGTTCTCTCTTTTTTTATATTGTCATTCTCTTTCATTATCCTCGCTGTAAGTGTATATTGCCGCTCGTATATAAATAGATCAATATTCTTTTCGTCTTTCATTGACACATCTTGGCACCTATTCCTTTGTTCTTCGTTCTACTAGAGACAATGGTAGTGAAACCAATTGTTCTATGTGTTCCTGGGTGTGAGTGTGGGTCTTCTCCTCATCTACATTCACATCCACACCCACATCTTCATGAAAAAAACAAACAGGGGCGTGGGTGTGGGTGTGTGGGTGTGGATGTTTGTCTTCTTCTGAGCCACAACCACAACCCATATCCACACCCACCAACCAACACCCACACCTTTAGATGAAAAATTAACTGTGATTATTGGTGGCTGGTAATCATTTTAAATCTTCGGTGATGATAAAAGGGTAGGCTTTCGAAAGACGGTGGCCGTATGCGACCATCGTAATTCATCGAAAATCATTTGTCTACTACGACACTATACGGTCTCCGTAAACGATTGTCGTATGCCGCCGTGAATGATTGGTATAAGGTTGTTTACGACCGATGGTGCTCGACCAGGGTATATGTCGCAAGTGAATACTTACGTCGGTTTGGGCTACTTAGGTGAGTGGTTTAAATGACTTGACAGACTGGAAAAAAAATAAGTGCTAGCATATTTATTCGCCTAAAGATATTAAGAAAAAAAATGTAATAACAAGCCGCAGACTCCACTTCCGAATGTTTCAAAATAAAAATACAATAGCCAATGTTGGAACTCATAACAGAATCAACGCCAAATATTTTATTAATTGTATTCGCTTATATGTCAGCATAAGATTTATTTAGTAAAACCTCCAAATTCAAAAACGTATTTTATAGACAGCAGTGCCTACGATCCAAAAATTGACAATTCAAGAAAATTTAAGCAATTCAAGGAATTCAACATATCCCCATATCTTTCAATTATATCCTCTGGAAGTATCAGGGAAATCAAAGAATTCAAGCAATTCAACATATCCACATAACTTTTAATTATATCCCCTGGAAGGGTGTGGGTGTCACTGTGGACCAAGATAAGAAGGACCCACACCTACATCCCACATCCACACCAACACCCTATTCAATTCGTTGAATCTCTAAAATTACTTTCAGTCTCTTGAATACCTTGATTTTCTGAAATTTGCCAGAATTCTATCGTAGTTAAGGCTTGTAATCTAATATCTTATGTATGTCTGTTGGGTTGGTTGATTTTCTCGAATTTCCTTGAATTGCAAATTCGTGGATCCTAGGGGTATCTCTTTATAGATTACTCAATCGAAAACTTTATCTTTTTAATTCGGTTATTTCAAGCTAGAATTAAATTCCAAATATAAGATTTGATAGAGGAAAGTCTGCTCTAGGAAAATATTAAAACCACTGAAGTTTAGAATAGATCTTTATAGAATAGCCAGATGATGTGTGTCTGTGTGGCTGTGGCTGTGGCTGTGGCTATGGCTGCCTTCGTGACTGTCGATTTCCAGGGAACCTCCACACCCTCAATCATACTGACAGTTGCACACCGTGCAGCGTAAATATTGAGCGTTATGCCGTATATTCGATGGTACTTGACTGTGGCTTATTGTAGGCTAGACCTTCATAACCTTGTCAAAGAAGTGATTATTTTAAGAAATTCATCATTTGCTTTTGTGTACTCAAAAAGTGAGTACACTCTAGAATCGGTCAGTATGTCTGTCCGGCCGGCCGTTTACACAATAACTTTCGAAAGGAGAGTCCGATCACGATGAAATTTTCTATACAGTTCAGTCTTTACAATATCTCGGTCGAGTTCGAAGATGAGAAGGATCGACCAAGCCGTTCCTGAGTCATTGCAAAAATACCCATTTTTCCCTATAGCTTCCCTATGAAAAGATCTACCCATCCCCACTTTCGTGAAAACTTTTTCTATCATAGTCAACTAAAACTGCAATTATTATATACCATTCGATCGAGAATTTCAAGAGCTACAAAATGGTATATAAAACATAAAGAAACAAGAAGGTTGACTCACCTATGACAAAGATAATTAAAGAGAACTAGCTTATATTTTTGTCCACGATCTAATTGATCCACAAATAGAGCTCTATCTTCCGATCGCAGAGATGATACTTCGAGGTTTTCTGAGATGGAGAACTCGAATCTGCATTCCGCTTCCATCGAAATACTATTGGTTGAGCCGTAACCAATAAAAATCAAGTTATAGGAAAAACGACTTTCTTAGGGTAAATCAAGGGGAAGAGTTCAAATTTGAGCTGTATTCAGTCCCAAGTCCTATTGGTTTGTCAATACCCAATAGAAATCAATAGTTTAGAGGGTAGGTTCCCCAGTATAATTTTGATGTTTACACATTCTAGGATGGCTAATTCGTCTGATTCACTTTTTGAAGTACACATAACTCTCGGATTTAAATCCGAAGTTTCCCCATTTTTTTGTGCTGCAGTCGACTATCTTCTGTAAACTGTGGCTGGGTTTCAAACGTAATCGTAGACCCTTGTAAGATTGAATGCTAAAGCATATTATTGTCATGTCTTTCATTTCTAGTTTTTTTATATCTGAGATAAAATATCGCGTTTGTTGACTAATGTTTCTTTTTTTTTTCTTCATTCCTAATCATTTTTTTCTTTGTGTTTATCAGAGTATTTATGAGACTGTAAAGCCTTGAAAGGACAAAGTATAATTTATCATTCAAGGGAAAGTATTCTACTTTATACGATACTCAACACCTCTGATATTGCCTTTCTTATTAAACACTTTGAAAAATAATGGACTCAAACTTTCAAGGATCAAACACGGATTCATTTGTGTCGTATTATCAGACCTCGCTTTGCAATCTGCAAGCTACTAATAATGAACTACTAGGAGAAATTCTTCAGAAGAATCACTCATGTGCATTCTTTACGGATCGATCAATATCATGCTTGTCAACGTACAATCCACTTTCTGAAGATGGCGCGTATGCGTCAATCGATGAGTTTCGAGAGAAGGTTCCATTGACAACTTACGAAGACTATCGTAATTATATTGATCGAATGGTTCTCAACGGAGAGAAGAATGTGCTTACATCAGAAAATATAGTTTATTTCAGTATGACTTCTGGAACAACGTCAAAGATCAAAATCCTTCCGGCCACTTTAGCAACAATGAAAAAGTTTAGTCAATCAGTACAATTAGGATATTATATTGTCAAAAGATCATTTCCTTCTTCAACATTTTCGTCTTCTAAGCAACGATCATTCTTTGTTCAAAGTGGTAGAAAATCGGATATGTTTCCAGTATCAAAAGATGGCATACCAATGGGCCCGATGAGTCAATATTCTTCGACAGTTGAATCCTCTGATCAAAAAGATTCATCGGCGTCCAACAATGATATTGTACCACTTGATATTCTGAATGAAATTACTCATTTCGAGACTAGCATGTTCATTCAACTTGTTTTTGCACTTGCGAATTTGAATATTTGCTCATACTCGGTCATATTTGCTTCAGGATTCATTCATACCGTCAAGATAATTGAAAATTATTTCGAAGAAATCAGTCTTTGTATTTCGAACGCCAATTTCGATCATAGCTCACTCGTTCAAAAGAATATTTCTGATCTGGAATTCAAATCGATATTAAATCAAAAATTGAATGAAGTAATAATCGAACATGGAGGAGAGATATATCGATTAGAACGAGCTCAACATATTCACAACGAATGTTTAAAAAAAAATGTTCCAGGTATTCTTCATCGTCTTTGGCCAAATATGATTTACGCTTCTACGGCTATCGGAGGCACGTTTACTATATACAAATCCGATATTCAATTTTATTGCGGGCAACGGTTACCTTTAGTTAATCTGGCTGCCTATGGTGCAAGTGAAGGATTTTTTGGTTCCATTGCAAGTATTCACACAGATGAATATTTCCTGTTACCAACACATGCATTTTTTGAATTCATCAAAGAAGAAGATATTCAGCAAGTAAGTCATTTAACATTCGAATTTTAGGTAGAGCATTCTTTTGACATTTTCTTTAAAATAGAAAGTTTTTAGCTATGTTGAAATATTCATATTTTTTGAAAGTTCTCATATAAATGTCAAGTAATTTTAAATAAAAACTACGTGAAAAGATTGATTTTTGCTACGTAACTTATTAAAACCAATTCTAAGTAGAAAAAACATTCTTATTAAGCTTTTTATTTAAACTCTAAATAAATAATTTTCATTTTCTAAGCAAAGTATTGAAAACCGATAAATAAGCAAAGAAACATCAACTTCAAAATAAAAATTTTAAATTGTATACTTATTGAATTAGCCAAACTTTGAATGTTTGTTTTTAGTCGTCTTTTGTTTTGGCCAGTAGTATAGTCTTTTCTGACGAAGGTGATTTGAACAACTTCAACATAATATCCATATCAATACTATGTTTCCAGATATATTCTTTGAAGCAACTAGAATAATAAATAGTACATTCGCTTTTCTATTCTGATGGAGTCTGGAGCTATAGATGTTTTTGAATATAAGACTAACATTCACAAACATTGACATCTTAAATCCAAATCTGTCCACACCCTTTTTCGTAAGAATTCAATAAAAGAGATTCTCAGCAACTTTAACTTTAACAGAAAGTTCTGTCGATTTCAGTGTGTGTGCATGTCGACATGAATTATGAGTATTAGTGCAAGCTTTATTTTTGCAAATACTCTCGTCTCTATCCTCAAACTCATATCCAATATGTATTTCATATCTATTGCAAATAAACTTATCAAATCAAAGGTTTGGTCGTATGAGAACGGCGTAATATTCAAGTCGATCATTTATATGAGACTGGAAAAAATACTGTTTTCGGAAGGTAAACTGAAGGTCGCCAGTTGTTTTCAACTTTTCTCTCAAGTGAAAGTCGATTCTTTGTATTTGTAAGTGCCTCCTCTATAATTGTCTTAATTGAAACACTCGGGTATATTTTATTTAACAAATATTGTTTCCTGTATGTTTTGGATTGGGTGTAATCTTTTAGTTAAATCAAACATATTAAATTTAGTTGCATTGTCGTTTTCACCAAAAGTTTTATTTCTTTGATCAATATTATCTTTGTGATTATGTAGTCCCTGTACCTAATTTGAAACAGTTCAATTCGTCAAATTATTACAATGTTCAGAACAATTAGACGTGGGTTGTACACAAAGGAGAAAGAAAAACAAAAAAAAGTACTAGCTATATAAAAAGCGAAACTTCCAATAAATATGATAATATAGTAAGGTGTGTATGTGAACAATGAATGGCAGTACTGATGATTTTGGAAGATGAAATAATTAGCACGAAAAGATATATCAATGATGTTCTTCTAGCTATTGCAAGATAATGTTAAGCATCAAACACACATCATTTCACTCAAAAACACTGTTAATCATTTTTCTGAATTTGTTCTTAAGATCAGTTGACCACCGCATTGACATGATTTTTCTCTATGACAACTTATACATGGAGATGACTAAGAACACAGAGCGAAGGGTGGAGTAGAGACATATAGTATCCTGGAAACTATATCATCATACTTGATTGTACCTTTTTTTAATTTTTTCGTGTGGTTGAAATCGGCGGAAAACCGGTGACATATCGATTGGTATGATGTACGCTGTACTGACGTTTTTAAAAGTATTGTACCATGGTGTATTGTATCGAAATATGTGAACATAGCTGATAGACTTCCGTTTGTACATCCATATAGTCAAAATCAGTCCCGGCGGTGCACAACGTTTTTATTACNGGTGCAACGGGTTGATGGTAATTTGAACAGGGCTGTTAAGAGTAGTTTCAAATAAGAAAACCAAGGGGTAAGTTTTCTTCGATCTTCAAGGCGAAGTGTTCGATTCAGGACTGAATACAAACTGGGATGGTCGGGATCCCACTCGATTGTATACAAAACAATCGCAGCTGATTCATCCTGAGAAAGTTCGTTGGCCGGATTTTCAGATCTGTTCGTAGCTGTCCAGACACGTGAGTCAACATCATCAACTAACTCACGCAACTTCACAACAGCTTCTTGTAATGAAACCAGAGACTTCGAGGCGTAACCACGCAACGGTGTAAGTGTATTCAGACGTTCTTCCCCAGCATCGAGAATACGAGTATTAATATGTGCCATAACGATAGAGCTTGACACCGTTTTCGTCGTGAAATTCACCTGTGACTTTTGTTTAATAATTGAATCCAACAGTTGTTAATAGAGTAAGACTTGTAGTTTTGTGTTTATCTTGAATAGACAAGGGTGTGGGTGTGAGTGTGAGTGTGGGTGTGGGGTGTGCTGTTAACATGAGTAGAGACCCTGGAGTATGTCTTCGTGTTAGCCCGAAATAGGGTAACATTTTTGCTATGGGAGGTGAATGAGTGTCAGTGTCTATCTGCATGTTGTAATGGGTGTGCGACTAGGAAAGAGAATCAGTGTTTTATGTGGATCAGGATCTGAGTAGCAATGAGTGTGCGGGTGTGAGTGCGAGTGTAGGTCATGCGAAAAAGACAGTCACTCACATCCCACGGTCACATCCACACCCATACCCACATGCGCAGCCCTGGTTTGGGTCAAGAGCAGCTTTGATGCAGGTAGGGATACGACGGTTTGCGTATGTTGGGGAAAGACGGTATTTGTGGGAATTGAACTGCATGTGAGTCGAATGGGATGCTTTTGTTACTACCTGGTATTCTAGTCGATGTGCGTAGCGTCAGTGGGTGTGGGTGTGGGTCTCGATCTGACTCTGTGTATCCCCTGGGGTGTGTGCATGACTCTGGGCCTTTGCATTATTTGGTGTCGATGTTGATATGACTCTGGTTGTAGATGTGCAGATGTGAACTGGTTTGCCAGCGTAAGTGGTGTTTTTCTGTTCGTTTGCGTATATGGATTTGAGTGTCAGCCTGTCTGTAGGCCAGCGTGTGGATTCAGATGTTAGCGATCCTATGTTTGTGGTTTCAGTGTGAGTGAGGATAAATAGGCGTAGGTTGTAGGTTTATGGTGGATGGTCTGAGGTCTGAAGTTGATGAACGCCGGATTGGACTCGGGGCGTCGCGGAGGCGGGCTTTCATGAGTGCACAGGTGTCAGTGGCGTGCAGGCGTTCTGATGTGATCTCTGCTTTGGCTTCATTGAGGTGAAATGGGAGGAGGGTACAGTGAGAAGCCAGGCGACAAACTCGATTTGCGAGATCTGAACCTAAATTGTAGCTAATATTAAGGCTATTAGGGTTGTGCATTTAACTGCATCTTGACTGTCGATTGAAAGGAAGTAGTCACTACGTAACAGCAATCACAAATCAGATGAAATACGTGAATATCACTAATTGGATAATATGAGTCAAATGTATATTTTTAATTAAAGATCTAAATGTCTATTAATTATGATACAAATATATAGCGTCATATGTCTACTATATATTGGAAACCTTTCAGAACTTTTGAAGTTTTTTCTGTTCTAATAGGACCGGAAACTTACACACCGTGTACTAAAAATTAATGATTAGTCAATAATACAATTTGTTCGCGTGATTTGGCAGAGCCTTTTATTTGAATTTGAATTTACTATTTTATAGGGCCTGTCATTATCCACCTTAGGTAAATGCGTAAAGACGCATAGTTAAACTCTTACTGAGATACGACGTCGCAAATATAACCTGCCATGCAGATAGGTTCCACTGAATTTGTATAAAAGATACTTGCTTTTTAGATAGGTTAAGTTTCCAATCGTTTCCAATAGACAATACAAGCATAAATATACAAGATTTTAAAAATACTACAACGATTATTTGGTTCTAAACATAGCCCATTGATAGTTTCTAACTTTGGACTCTTCAGAAGGAAGAAGAAGAAGAATAATAATATCCTGCCTTTCGGCTACCTTGCGGTATAGGATGCTGTCCGAAAACAGTTTCGAGAGCCCGATATTTTCCCTACATCTATTACTAAATTTTGCTCTGGACAGAAGACCAGCCTGATTCAGAGTTCTCCCGCTTAATCACTTAAGCTCCCCGTACACACTGACTAACCACATACCAGCCACAAGAGCTTTTTAGTGTATGTCAGCCACGCAGTCGGTTTATTATCGGATGGGTAATCCGAGACAAAGCAGCCGTTAGTAACTTGTCCAAGATCATTTTATGACTGATGGAGCCGAGGCTCAAACACAGTATTTTGTGGGTATCTATCAAACATCTTAACCATTCAGTCATACCGGCTTCAGAAGGAAACCTTGGTAACTCGCGAGGAAATACTTCCAACTGCTAAGTCATTTCTGAGTTTGAACTGTGTTCATTCGATGAGCACTGATGCGCGTAAGAAAAGTCTAGAATAATATGCTTTTCGAGGCCTTGGTTCTTATGATATCAAATTTTTACTGAATTTTTCAAAAAAATCCCATATTTCCCCACAGGTTATGTTGAAAGTTGAATTTTTAGCTTTAGCTTAAAACTTTGCAGTAATAATGCTTTCGGCGAAACTAATTCGTTGTGAAAGTTTCAGGTTTTTTCGTCAATGCTGTTGTGGCATACTAAGAAGAGCACAAAATTGACTTTCTCACACAACAGAATTTCGGACGTCCGTATCTCACGATAGCAGCAACGAAAAATGCTGAAACTTTCACAATGAACTAGTTTCACTGGAAGCATTATTTTACTCAAGTTTCAAGTTAAAACTAAAATTTCAATGTTCAAAGTGACCTGTGGACGACTACGAGATTTTGTTGGAAAATTTAGTGAATAAACCTATTTTTCAGAAATTTTACCAGTAGAGCAGGCTAAGTAGGCACAGATGATCAGCATGAAGTGAGAAGCATAATTATACAAAATATCAAGTTATTAGCTATATTAGTTGTAAGAAGTGCTCCTGGCCCCCCTTTTCTGCCTACTGTCGGGAAGGGGGACGATCGTAGTCGGTTGGTTTAAGCATTGTCTTTTATTTGAGTATAGCGCTTAGAATGTGTAATGTGGGATTTAGTAAGATTGTATAAAGTATAAGACGTGGAGATTTTTCGAGGTTTGAGTCTTTTCAGCAAACCTCAGACCATTAAGTATGAACAAGCCTATTGAAAAAGTAAAAACTGAAGTCATTCGAGTGGTGCGATGGACTATGGCATCTTTTGATAATATATTAGTGGCAATGATTTTAGAGAATTTTCTGATGAAGTATGTTGGCGTCACTTCCTTACTGCTTCGTTTGACACAGTTAGTACCACTAACTCATATCTTATGCCATTCAGATCAATTCAAAAGCACAGAAAACTAATGAAACCATGGTACAAGCTGAGCATAACGAAAAATGTGTTATTGGTAAGGGAATCAGAACAGAAACGCAACCGACAAACATCTACACAACCTTACCTGCGCAAATATTGGGTGTTTATGCCGCTTCTCTTCGTCAGTTGTTTCAGCCATCATTTTTATCACATTTTCATTTTTTTTCTTTCTTCTCCTTTTATGTCAACAAAAACAAAGGTTGAATATTATCGGCTTGCTGCACAGAGAATAATAGAAATTTCAGCGAAAGAGCATACCATCCATCAACATTCAAGGTTTCGTCAAGTGAAGGGCTCTTATGAAAACAGTGACTGAGAAGATGTGAGCAACTTTCTTTAAAACATGCCCTCTTCGGTAGAAATTATTAATATGGTTTGAATTCATATTCGAATATGCAGAGCAACAAAAAATAAAATTGGGTAACGGAGTGGTTGAGGGTGTGGGTGTGGGGTGTAGGTGTGAATGTGGATGTGGATGTGGGTGTGGGTGTGGATGTGAGTGTGGATGTGAGGTATCGGTGTGGGTGTAGCTGTTCTGTTCATCCACTGCCACACCCACTCCCACATGCACACGCACACCCTTGCATACCATTCATTAGTTTGATAATAGCAAGACACCAAACGTGAACGATTCCTTTTTTCACAAAGAGAGGAAAATATGTGTCTAGAAGTTAGAGCCCGTCGGGTCCAAAAATTTCGGACTTGAAATCAACCCGATGACCTCTACTAAGAGCGCAATTGGATTTTCGATATAGGCATACGGATGGAAGATGTTCGATATCTCGTGTTGTAATTCGATTCGAGATTATTTTGTCAAAAGCAAAATTTGATTTTGTGTGTGATGAGCTCAAAAAAATAAGATTGATCTTCTAAAATAGGTATTCATCGATTAATCCAATGATATCTGTATAAAGGCCGAAACCTTAAATTTTTGTTTTTTTTTCTAAGGAAGTTTTTTTCCGGCCTAACGAACTTCCTTGGCAAGTTTATCTTTATCCCGGTGAAACTTTAGAGATTACATTCAAATAGCTTTGTTTTCAATTTTTTTTTGTTTTTCTGAAGCATACACCTTGTTTATTTGAGAGAGGAAAAAATGTAATTCAAATAAAAAAAAAGGCAAAAGAGAAATCACTAAATATAGTCATAAATGGGTGTGTTTTAAAGGAGAAGAGAAATGATGATAAGAAATTTCTGAATTACATAAATATGATCAACATAGACAACAAATTATAGTCAAGTCAAAAAAGGAGAGAAAATATATTTGACACAATCAGAAGGCCACGTAAAAAAAATTAATCTAAATAATAGGAAATGAAAAACTACAATAATACTCGATGGCATCGTGAGATTAAAAATGAACAAAGAAAAAGCACAGCAAATGCAAAAGCAACACAACGAAAGATTAAATTTTAAAGATATTTTTCTTTTCATGAGTTTAGAAAAATATGTTTTATTCTAAGGTAATCAGAAGAAATTCACTGTTATTCAATGACGACATCCTTTGTTTTTTTTTAAGGATTAAAGAAGACTACTTTTTATGTTTCACAGCTATTGATCACACTGTTCTGAAAGAAACCGATTATCTATATATGTATATATATATATATGTATGCTTTTCTAATGTCTACAGTAGCTGCAGCTCGCATTGAACGTCAGGCAATGAATGGTGATATCGTACGTCAAGTTGGTGAACGATAACGTACAGGTGGTCCTTGTAAATCAGTTAATCGTTTTGTTTCATGATTCAAAAGAACAGGATCAAGATTATATGGATCATGAGAAACAATTGACATTGAATCAGTTATTTCACGGCGAAGAGCATTTGTTTCATCCCCATTTGTTAATGAACGATGAAGAAATGATTTACGTTCACACATTTCTTGATGAAGTTGTTCTTTAAGCGTTGTTATCTATTTGTTTAATAACAGTGTTTAACTCGAAATTGAATTTTAAAAAAAAATTACCTGTTCTTCAAGACCATTAACACGAGCACGATATGCTTTTTCTCGTGCTTATAAAGCACGTTCAGCGGCTGTTTGTGATGATCGAATACGTGCAGTTTCAGCTGCGGCTTCAGGTCAATTATGTGTATTCAAATTAATTAAACTAAAAAAATAATTTGTAAAACAATTTATTTTCTGTTCTGAACTTCTTATATAGGGATTCCTGTTCTTCATCAATTGACCAAAATGTAGCGGATTCACTGCCGAAAGTCCTATTGATGAACTTCTGCTAATCCCTTATACTGTGTGTAGAAATATCTAGCTTTACTCTTTGACGTTGGTTCTAGACTCAATAACCTTTTATGTTCATTACTTGTATTGAGCTCGATTGCATTTATGGCGTAGATGTTCATTTAAACAAAATCATCGTTTTAGGTTCTATTCTCGACTCTGACTGATGATTTTGTTTTTTAAGCTCACTTATTTGTAAACTACATCAAATAAAATATCGTTTTTGTTTTTAAATTTATATATATTCATTGTTACTGTGCTTGTTCAAGTTTTTCTTGTGCAACACGTTGTTCAGATTCACTACTTTGTGAAGCATTTTGTATACTACCAAGTTTTTGTTGTAAATCAGCTGTTTGATAATTTGATTGTGATAATGTTTGATTAAGTGATTGTACACGTGTTTTTAAACTTGATTCACCTTCCTCAGCTTTAGCTAATGTTAATGAAAGACAATCAACACTTAATTGTAATGATTGCCATTTATCTTCACGTTTCTGCTTTGTTTAAATTGAAAGAATTTTTATTTAAATAAAGAGAGAATTTCATTTTTTATTTTACTTGAATTTGTCTAATTAATATGTCACATCATTCTTGATGAACTTGAATTTCCATATCTTTATCAGTTAATATCATATTTAAACATTCAATTTCACCTTCTAATACTCGTTTTAATAAACGTTTATCATCAGATAAATGTGATTCAGTTAATTTATGTACACTCATTTTTTCCTATTACAAAAAAAAACAAATAGGGACAATTCCCAATATTTTCCAAGAAAGAAAAATTATACAAGAGCTTGTTTCTTCTCATTTTCCATAGCTAATAATTGTCGTTCAAGGGCACTTATTTGATCTAACATTGTCTTACGTTCACGCTCACTTTGTCGTATTGTTTCTTCTTGCAACACCATAACACTTTGGGCACCTTGTAAACGAATATCAACACTTTTCTTATCTAAGAAACGAAAGAAAAATATACCGATTCAATGGAAATAATGTATCAAACCTTTTTCAGTTGATAAGAGTGTTTTTTTTTAATTGACAAAATCGTTGTTCAGTTCTTTGAAGATTTTCTTCAAGTTCTTTGGTTGTTCGTCGAAGTTGTGTAACTTCAACTTTAAAAAGAAAATAAATAATTCAATTCATGTTTCTTTTTTCTATTTAAATATCTTACTAGCACAGTCATCTCGTTCACGTTCTGTTGTTATAAAATTTTGAACAAATTCTCTTAATGCTGTACGAATTTGTTCGGATCAATATCAGCAGCATCAACAAATGTTGAGCCTGGTGAATACGAACGGTGATATGGACTTCGTGATGTTCGATCTAAAATATGTGGTGCACGATTTTTGTTACTATCAAGACCTTTTCTTGGTGATATTGGTCGACGACGGACATTTGGACTTGGTGAACGATTCCGAATTTGCGTACTGCTACCATTGCATGGTTCATAGCCAATTGTACGACGTAAACTTAATACAATACTACCTAATTTATATTGAGTATCACGTTTGGCTCCTTCGACACTTAAAAAGTAGAAAATATTTCTTTGTTTTCTTTTTAATACAATTAATTGAAGCTTTGTATCAAGTGCACTTGCTCATCCTTCTACATCTGATAATGCAATACGTAATTCAGAAATCATTTGATTAGCATCATCAAGTGCTAATTCAACATTTCGTCGTTCGTCAATTGCTTTACGCTCTATAAAGAAAATAACAAAGTAATTCTAAAAAAATTTAATTTATTTTCTATTTATTGATTTTACTGAGACGTCGAGCTTCTTCAACAGCTAATTTATAATCACATTCTTTTATTCGTTGTTCATCTTCTAATTCAACATAATGTCGTTGTATATTAGCTAATTCTTTACGTAAAACCTCTCGTGATTCTTCAGCTTCAACAAATCGTTGTTTTTGTCCAAATAGTTCACGACGCATTTCATCTTCACGTTGTTCATCTTGTGTAATTCTTGTAATTCACGTCGAGCTTCTAATAGAGAACGTTCAACATCACGTAAATTATGACGTAAATCATTGATATCTTTTTGTCATTGACATTTTCTTCTTCGAAAACTAGAAAGAATTCAATTTTTTTCATAGATAAATATAAATGCATGTGTAGTAATAGTAGTAGTCCTAGTAAAAGTACTAAACTCACGATGGTCTGCTACTAGACTGTCACAGAAACTTTTGTGTATTTTATGAGTTTTTTAGCAATTGACTACAAAATACTTCTTAATGCTTAATCTACTAATTGGTTGAAATTTTTTTTATATAATGTCATAGAAACTAGGTAGGTATCCTGTTGACAAATGACTCATTACATGAATACTTTGAACTGAGTATGTTCACTAAGAATAGAAGCAAATCATATAACGAATCATGTTTCCTAAGCTGATTTTCAGTTATAATGTAAGAGACTAGACAGTAATCGAGTGCCAAGCTTTTATAGTCTACCTTAGGTTCGGAAATACTATTGAATCCCAATCGTCATACTACATATAGGTTCTATTGGATCCGCCATGAGTACGGGTCAGTAAAGCCAAGTTAATCTTAGTTGCAGATGTCAAATGATCTGGCACTATAAGATGGGAAATTTGCCAATCCTAGAAGCTATTTAAAATATATATAGCATGAAAGATTATGTTGCGGTGTACGACCCATCTGGGCCATAGTCCGAAAATTTTCAACCCGCCAAACTCTAGTATGTTCCGAAATAAGTAAAAATAATCTCACATTTGGATAATTTTCGAAACTTTTTGAATAAGCAGATTCTGAGCAAGTGTCACGAGCGTATTATTTTTTGTTGCAGGAAAAAAAGCGGTTGCAGTATCAAGAGTTCATGGTACTAGTGTCGTTTCTACCACATTCTAAGTCATATATTTCTCAGTGGATAAAGAGAATTTACCAAGTATCGGTATGCATTTTAGAAAGATGCATCGAACTATTATATTCAATATCAAAAATATTTATGGATAGAAAAATTTGTTCGTATCTTTTCTTAAATATGCACTTCCTTCGAATGGGTGTGAGCATGTAGGTGCCGATGGTTGGGTGTAGTATTTCTGTGAAGCCACAACGAGATCCAGATTCATTTACACTATATAATCACTGTGTCGACGTTCGGTAGGTTTCCTAATCAATGCCGTGCTTTGAGTTTGAAGTGGATAGGATTAATGTAAACTCTTATGGACTCTCTCAGCGGGCGAGAATTTCTCAAGTTTACTTTCGCTTATTGGTTCGCGATTGAATTTCTTTCGTTCGTGCCTATTTGTGTTGATGAGTGACAGAACACTGATCGCCTACATTCTCATCTGCAAGTTTTGTGGTGAAAAGCTTTTCGACTGCACTGTTTAGGGTTTCTACGTTACGCTAAGGTTTCACCGGTCACTGTCGAAGATCAACTCATCCTTCTCGACAGGCACATTTCAGATATATGGAGACATCGTCTTTATTTCCTATCTTATGAAGTCAGAAGTGAAGTTATCTTGATAGTTCGATCTTAATATCAAAAATCACAGAATGTAATGAATAAAATGAGATAGAAACATGACAAGCTAATCATGTAAAATGCAGATAAAATTCTAGAATAAAGAGCAATAAAATTAATAAACATTTGTNCGTGTCATCTAGACAAAAGAGAAAGAAAAGATAAAAAGCGGCTATTTTTTCAATAAAATATACCTATAATCATCATCAACAATTCAGTTCGTGTTAATACAAGCTATTTATTCAATGTCTATATGACGCGACAACGACATCAGTTAAAAATTGTACGTGTCACATTTGATGATGAACAAAAGAATTGTTGATTTCCTTCTTTTTTTTTCTTCCTACACTAAGCCTATAGACAAATATATTTGACAATGAAAAAAAGAGAAGAATCAACATAAAACCTGCGCTGTTATATGCAAACGATAATTGTTCATGTTTCTCTTTGCTTCTTTTATTCACCTCATATGCTAATAGCACTTCTTAAAATTCAACAAGATATGTAAACGAGTATACATTTAAATGCAATATTTGTTTTAAAAAAATCATTGAAGCAGATTTAAAAAATGAATATATATTAAAGTAATTTGTTCAAGAAAAAACCAACTAAACTTTATGCATATGTAATCTTTCATCAATTAAAATGTCTTTTATTTTCTTTTTATGTTTCAAGCCATCGGAACATTTTCATTATAATAATCATTACAAAATGAAAGCTAAGCTTTATTGCTTAATTATAATCAATTAAATTCATATTAAAGCTGTTTCTTTTTCAAGATTTCTTCTAAACGAATCGCATTCAAATAAAAAAGAATAAAATGTTTTATAAAATCGAAATGAAAAAATTCAATGATTAGCAAATGTTTGTCTACATATTTCTTATTACTAGAGTAAAGTCTGATCTTTATTATACAAAATGATCAAAATCAATCGAAGAATTTATTTTGAACAAAATGATAATTATAAGCGTACATTATCGTTTTTATTCTCTTTCTAATAAGATATGATGTGTGCATACATATTATAATAGAGAAAGTTAAAGAAGAAGAAAAAAAGAAAAAGAGCTCGAGTGCACGCAACAAATAATTTGTTCAAGGACATAATGTGTAGAGCACATATTTACAAACGTAAAGAACGAACAAGTACATCTATCTGACACATACAAACAAAAATAATAAATAGGTTAGAAGTATGAGCAGCAAATTAAAAATGCAAAGTTTAGCTTTATATTTCCCGAAATTTATATTTGTTTTGTGTCATGAGGAAACGATAAAAAAAAACGCAAAAAAAAAACGCAAAAGAAAAGTTTTCACCGATAATGAAATTATTTAATAAACCATCACCGTTTTTATTCTATTTTTTTTTTGTTTCAAACATTAGCCGGACTTTCAAGATGAAAATAACTTCGTGATGTTGGATAGACTGGTGCTGCTGTATAACCTATTCGTCTTGTTTGTGGTTGGTGAGATGTATTGATCGGAGTATCCATATTATGACTATATGATGTAAAATGTGCTGGTTGTACAGTAAATGTTGATGGATATGGTGAACGAATTGATGATACTGGTATAATAGACGGATGAAAAGATGATTGATGTTGTTTTAATGATTGTGAACCATTTAAATTTGTATGTAAAAATTGTTTTGGAATGGGTGGATGGGAAGATTTTTGACTATTGATTGATAGTGACGATTTACCAGGTTGTTATTGTAACGATCAATAAGGCCCTGACTGGCTTGATACGTCATGACAAACTGAATAGAGGTGGAGTAGCTTACCGCCACTCTCGGCAATGATGTTTATTCGCTTCTTCACATATCCAGAGTGTAACAACTTCATACATAACACACATATATANGTGGAACAAATGTTGTAAGATCTAATTCATTTTCATCATTATTTAATGGCATTAATGATGGTAATGGTGATAAATCAATTTCTTTAACATGTCTTGTAGAAGTCATAGGTTGATCATCGTTTGTCATTGGTAAACGTGATATAGTTACTTTAATATGTCCAGGATGAATTTCACGTCGTACAGCTTCATGTAAAATAGCAGCAGCTTCTAAAGTTGATATATTTATCAATGAAGAATCATTAATAACAAGAATTTGATCATTCGGTCGTAATCGATTATCCTAAAACAAAAAAACGACGATAAGAAATTTAATATAAAATTTTTCTTCAAACGATCGAACTGTGTAAAACTACAAATCTGTCCAACTTTTAAATTCATATATCGTTCAATATCGAATCATTCCAAATCGATTCGATAACGTTTAAATTAATAAGGATCTAAAAATACTACTCTTAGTTCGTTGTTGTCGGCATAGCTGTCGAAATTACGAGGTTATCTTCCCTAATTACTTTGCATAGTGATGATGCTTTCATTTCAAATTGCTCCTATCGAATGGAGTATTCAATTCTGCATTCATATCAGTAAGACCAGATCAGTTATGCTCATAGACATGCCACCTGATAGATATTTACGATGGTTAGTTGTAGTCAATCTTTACATACGAACTGATAGTGTATTTCAAAAATGACAAAATCTTAAATTTGTCAAACTGAGAAGTCTGATCACATAAGAAATTCTATTAATATTACTCTTATAATATAGTTTTGTGCTCCTTTTGGTTGATCTTGATTAGACAAACTAAGAATTGAGTCAAACTTAATATGATATTCGAAATCAACATTAAAAACTGAAAACCGGACTAGTTATATTTCAAACTTTTCTTCACTGAAGAATTTGCTTCTGATCTATCTCAACGTTGAGTAAAAAAATGAATTTCATGAAAAATATTATTTTAATAACGGGAAACAACTTCTAATGCGGTAAAAAACTATAGTAAAGCATAAAATAGCAGATGGGCTGAATAATGAAAACAGCATTTTTATGAAATTCATTTTTCGAGCTAATCCTTAAGGAGATCAGGGAAAAGTTCTTAAAAAATACTTGCATTACCAATAGTTCAACTCAGTTTTTAATGCTGATTCCGAATACGTACCAAAAAAGGCATAAAAATATGTCTAATGAATAAAGCTTATGAAATTTCATAAATGACAACAGTTTTTTCGGTTTGGGATATATACGATTTTATAGTTTTTTGTAATGCCCTATCGTCGATAACGGCTAATCAATCTGAAATTTCTATCAAATGACTCAACATTATCATTTCTTTGACTAAACTTACTCGAGATGCAGCTCCACCAGTTAAAATACTTTTAACAAATATTCCTAAATCAATAGATTGTCCATCAACAATAGATGTTTTCCCTTTCAATGTTATTCCAAGACCAGCTGATGATGTATCATTTAATGGTATATCAAATGTCATTATTTGTGGTTTTATTTCATTTTTTATATCAACTATTTGCATTTCATCATTCATCTTCAAAAAATAAACATGAAAGTATTTTATTTCTTTGTTAATAAAAAACAAAATTTTTTTTTATTTTACTAGATCTTGTGGTAATGTTCCATCACGTTGTCTTGATATACAAAATTCAACTGTATCACCAATACGTGTTTCACGTAATAAACCAACCGTTTCTTGTAATGACATTTGTGTAACATCAATTGAATTAACTGTTAATAAACGATCACCACGTTGTAAACGTCCATCTTCAATAGCAGCACCTTTTGGAAATATTGTTTTAACATATATTGGATTGGCAACACCGGTTGGATTATCACGTGATGCTAATTTAAAACCAAGACCATCATTTCCTTCAAAAAATAAATTATTTAATTAATACTTCAAATACGCTCCTTCCTTCCCACCCACCCTCCACATGCATAAGACTCGATAAATTGAATTCTATGTACTTTACCAATTCCTTGTTATCAGTTATTAAAGTAATTTTCTCATTCCGATGATCATCTGTCATCAGCAATTCGTGACTTTTAATATACGTATGTGAAGCCGTGCTTATTATGACACTTTAGTGTGAGAAATTATCGAGCTTTGAAAGCGTTGAGACACGCAAGGAGATATATTATAATTATCTTGCACGAAGTATAAAGTAAACCTTTTAACTACAAAATGAAGGCTTCTTATTTTTATGAAATACTTTGTTCAAATCTTATGATTGTTTCAATCATAGACATCGTAATCATCTCATATTGAATTCGAAAATCTCTCGCGTTGTATCAACCGATTATTGTTCACCTTTACGTAATATCGCATTTTTCAGTTATAGACTCATTCATATTTCTGTCACCGTAATAAAAGTTTAGATCGCTTTATTTCTAGACTATGTATAATTCTAGAACAGAATGGTATTGAAGGTAACGCCCTCTCCACCCATTTTTATCTTTCGAACAGAGTACAGCGGATTCTTCTGAAATTTTTACCATAGGTAGAACATGAAATTCGGACCCGCTTACGACTCTTGTCTAACTTTGTCCGATCGAGCTGAAACTTTTTCACATATGCTATACATCGTTTGGGATGGATATCTTATTTTTTTTTTTGTTTCAAAAGGTATTGCTTTGCTGATTTTTCGATCGCTCTTACAGAAGAAGTTCCATTAAAAAAACATTCGTTTTTTGGGTCTCTTCGAAATATTTGCTTTTTTTATTTGAAGGACAAAAAAATACCCACTTCAAATAGTGTATAGTGCTTGCACTACAATTTTCAGTTTGATCAAGCATAGTATCTCGGAGAAACAGAGACGAATATTGAGGTCGTTGTAACTTCACTTCCTCATAGAAGATAAGATTCGGGAACTTTAAGTCTATAACAACGTTCATAGAAAACATACAGAGTAAAAAATATTACATTAATTTACAATTAAAAAAGTCACAAGCAATGAACTAATCTATGCGATACTTTAAATTCCTAATTTTGTTTATTCAAATAGAGTAATTAAAATTTTATTATATACCTTTAACAAGTATAATTTTAATAATTTTTCCTAAACGTCTAGTATTTAATGAATTCATATTTGAATCATTGTCAACAAATGATAGATCATTATTTTGATTGATTTCTGATAATGTTGAACGTATTTTATTATTTGAACGAAATGATGTTGATTTATGTGATGGTGGTATTGGTGGTTTTTTCATACTTCGAATAATTTTTAATTCAAGTTCTGGTTCAAGTAATGCCGTTCGAAATATTAATTGAGCTCTAATATTTGTTTTTTTTGTAAAATATTAAAATATAAAAAATTTCAGTTTTGTTATTTTACTTACTTATCAAATGAACAACGGTCAATATTTGTTCGATTTATTTCAATAATTCGATCATTTAATTGTAATATACCTTGTCGTTTAATATGTCCATCAGCTTCAATATTTTGTAAAACAAGTCCATTTACTTGTTGTTCATCACCATTATAAGGTACAACATGTATGCCTAAGGGACTATTTTCTTTTGGTAATATAATTGAAAATATTTTATCACCAGTTATTTCATCTATATAAACATTATACATTCCTATGATATCATCGAATGATTGATTTTTTGTTGCATCATGTGTTGGTGGTGAATACATTGGTCGATGTTTCATTTTGCTATCAGATGATGATTGCTGAGATGTTGACTATAAAAAGAAATATGTCAGGAATGTTTATCAAAATAGGAATTACTTTTTTACCTGTTGTGAATTCGAATTTGGATCGTTTTTAACACGTAAAGATCGAGCTGTAAAAAAAAAAAGAAAAGAAAAATGTTTTTTCTTTTTGCTTTTGCTATTCTATTCACATACATGTTTACAAATACTTATATATGTCATATATAAGTACGGATTTCAGCAGAAAAAATAGAGGTTGAATCACAGTATAAAAAAGAAAGTGTTAGTCCAAATATATCGATTTTTTTATGATACTATATCACTTCTTAGTATATTAATTTTGATTATCTCAATGAATAAAAATAAGTTCGATACAAAATGTAAAAAAAGATTATAATAAATTAATATTCTATATTTGTTTTTGTAGACTATAAATTCGTGTATAAATAATCAACAAAGTTATTTAATCGGAAATCGCCATAAAATATTTTTAGTATAGGAAATTTAATAGCTTATTAGATATGTAATACTATATATTATAAAAATTAAAGAAATGAATACATTGAAAAATATGTGGTAGACTACCTGCTATTTATATGATCACACACATTTATCATGTGCTCACGTCATTATTGTAGTAATTTGACACTACTTGCTGAGAAATTTTAAATTTCTGATCATTTCTCTTTCTGTACAAGCAAAGAAAAAGAAAGTGAGTTCAATAATGTTTACACAAAGAGAGGTCAGAGACCGAAACAATCAATCATCAATAAAAATGTCTAACAATGATGTGCAAAAATTTTCATTTTCTAAGCGTTTCATTTGCTCCTACATTTTTCTTTTCTTTTCGTGCATTGACCTGATGTAATAGTAGTTTAACTTGCACTCAGGGACATGTTTTTTTTTTTTTTTTTTTACGACAACCTTAACATGTAATTTGGCCTATCTCATTCATCAACCGTCACGCGCACATACACACACACACACATATGAGTGATAAGAGGATGTGTGTATTCAAATTTCTTTATCATTGTTCTTTTTGTCTGTTGTTCAATGCTCTTGACACGAACATGTTTTACAAGTTCATATTTCGTTCTCTTTTATATTTACTGTTGAAACTAGAAAACTGATAACGATCAAATTAAAATATTAGACATACTTCGAAGATCAGCATCGGTGACAATCACTTCATGACGATTATTTGAATTTGGTACCATTAAACGATCATGTTCTGATAAACTTGATGATAAATTTGAACTAGTTGCACTTGAAGATAAATCACCATTGCTATTTATAGTTGTTGTTGTTGTATATGATGGATAATGTGATTGTTGACAATCAATAATCGCAAATAGCTAAATCAATTTTTAATTAAAAATAAACATAGAGAACATGTATATTTACACTTGTTTACCTCTTCTCGATCATCAGCTACATCACATACTCGATCATCAGGATCTAAAACAGCACCATTATTAAGCCTTAATTGAACTTGATCACTGTTCAAAACTGAACCATTATTGTATGACTACAAAACCAAAAACAAAAATTATTTTGATCGACATATACAAACATATGTTGTTCTTGTGTACTAATGATTCCTATCATATTCGATATCGATCTGTCTAACAATAGTAATTGAATACTCTTACCAATTTACAATATTTTGCTGTTGCTAAATTAATTAATTCCCGTATAGATATATTGCCATCAATACCACATGGTACGACGACTTTTTTTTCACCAAAATTAATAATAACTTTCATTGAAATTTACAAATTAAAATTCGAAGAATAAAATGATAAATTAATCAATCGTAATTTCATACAATACATCTTAAAACTATAAAAAGAAAGAAATGTATATAGAGATATATATGATGGTTTTAATGATGTGCAAGAAAAAAAAGACATAAAGAACGAGTAGAAAAAAGAAAAAAAGAAAAGAGCAATGCTCTCTTCGATGTCATGTATATGTATCTGTATAACAAGCGTATAACGATGTCGTCCATCCATCGAGAGGAGGGAACAAAATGGTGAGAAAAGATCGATCAATTGGTCATTGAAAGGAAACATACAACTATATTTATGTATATTCTAATATGTTTGTAGAATAAATATTGTTTAGAATACAACGAAGATAATTATATATATTTATAAAAGATAAAATGAATAAAAAGTTGATATGAAAGATATTTATGTTTTGTGACTTAGAAAAAAAAAAAAGTTTTTTTCTTTCTTTTTTCTTATGAACAATCAGAAGAGAAATCGTCAAAATAGGTGCAGAGAGAAAAAAGAGAATGGAAAGAAAGGAACAACAGAATAGACAAAAAAAAAGGTAATTCGTCATTTCAATTGGATGAAAAGTGATGACAACCAACGAACACCTATTTAAGAGGGCGCCGAAGAACAGAGTACGAAAAAAAAAATATGTTCACACTTTATTTAAGTGATTTTAAGTGTAAAGATCGAAGCAAAACAAATTTAAATACTTTACTTGTTGAGTATAATATCGTTTTGTATGAAATTCCAAATGATATTCAATTCAAAGAATTTGTTTGAATAATAATATTCGTAAAACCAATATGAATAAATAAATTTGTTTGTCATATTATTTTTTTTTTTTAGTGTATGATTAAATCTTAGAATTTTTCTATGTATATATACAAAATATTCGAATCGTAAAATTACGTAAGATATGAACTTTATTGTGTGATTATAAGAAAAATTTTTAATTTATTTTGTTGTTATATTTTATGTACAAAGGTATAAATAGATTATTCATTCCTATTTTATCAACTGACAGTAATTTATCAGTTCGACAGTCTGTATAGTGGTGTTTATGTAGATAAACAAAAGAAAAATATATAACGAATATTTTCGTTTTTTTGCATATGAAACCACAATCAATTCATTTTTTTTATCATTTTCGAGCGACCCACCAAAGTAAAGTTTTTTATTGGTTTGATCCCATAACGACTATCTTTTGTTTTTCTTGATATATTATATGACTCATGTTAATAAAATATTGATCGTTCAAATAACAAAATTTGTTTTGTGATATTTTTTCAGCTTGTGGTTAACTTTCATTTTGTACTGTGACTTCCGTTTGATATTCCGAAGAAAATTTTTCCGAGAAATTATTATTATATGTAAAGAAAGAAACTCATTGAAAAGAAGAAAAGCTGAAATCGCATAATTATAAACAGTCTTTATGACATGAAATAAGTCAAAAAAACAGAGGAACACGTGTGAGTCGAATTGTGTTTATCAAGTATGAAGTTTTTTCGTTTTGAATTCAGTGATAAATACTCATTTTAGAATGAATTATTTTTATTTAGATTGAATCGAGTAATAACAAAGTGAATAGTGAGAATTTCATTTTTAAATCCATTATTATTTTTCTTTTATTTAAATAAAATAGAATAACAATTGGAAGTTTGGATATGTCATTAAAAAAAAAATGATTTTATTATTCGAATCAATTGAAAACAATAGATTAGATAGTAAGTATTGAGAAAATAATATTTTTTGTGTTTAATGAGTAAGGATAAGTTCCTCGTTGTCAAATGACCGGAAGCCTATGTAAAAAAAAACAATGCTACATTGTGTCATATACTCTCGTTTACGACAGTTGTAATGCTCGTTCTGAGCGTAAAGAAATCGATGGATACGTTTAATTAATGAAATGAATATCAATAGATAATTAGTTTTATAAATTTTATTTTAGATAATCATAAGATTAACGAATGGAGTGTTAATCATTATAATTTTTTCTGGAAGCTTTCTCTTTCTATATATATTGAATATAATAAGATCTAGTAAAATTTTCGATTCAAATCAAAATGAGTACTTCAAATCAAAAACAATATATAAATCGAGAATATTATTTATGTATGGGAAAATATTTTCAATGTCCAATGAATCTTCTTCAACGAGTTTATGAAAAACAGGTTGTACTTGAAAATATTTTTACTCGAGGTATTACAGCATATGGAACTGTGCGTGTTAACAATTGTTCATTTCATAAAAAAGTTTTCGTAAAATATACAATCGATCAATGGAAGAATTTTTCTGTTATTAATGCATATCATTCAATGTATTATTCAGATGGTAATACTGACTCATTTCAATTTAAATTAACTGTACCAAAAGATAAATTATCCATANTGTTGAAACTAGAAAACTGATAACGATCAAATTAAAATATTAGACATACTTCGAAGATCAGCATCGGTGACAATCACTTCATGACGATTATTTGAATTTGGTACCATTAAACGATCATGTTCTGATAAACTTGATGATAAATTTGAACTAGTTGCACTTGAAGATAAATCACCATTGCTATTTATAGTTGTTGTTGTATATGATGGATAATGTGATTGTTGACAATCAATAATCGCAAATAGCTAAATCAATTTTTAATTAAAAATAAACATAGAGAACATGTATATTTACACTTTTTTACCTCTTCTCGATCATCAGCTACATCACATACTCGATCATCAGGATCTAAAACAGCACCATTATTAAGTCTTAATTGAACTTGATCACTGTTCAAAACTGAACCATTATTGTATGACTACAAAACCAAAAACAAAAATTATTTTGATCGACATATACAAACATATGTTGTTCTTGTGTACTAATGATTCCTATCATATTTGATATCGATCTGTCTAACAATAGTAATTGAATACTCTTACCAATTTACAATATTTTGCTGTTGCTAAATTAATTAATTCCCGTATAGATATATTGCCATCAATACCACATGGTACGACGACTTTTTTTTCACCAAAATTAATAATAACTTTCATTGAAATTTACAAATTAAAATTCGAAGAATAAAATGATAAATTAATCAATCGTAATTTCATACAATACATCTTAAAACTATAAAAAGAAAGAAATGTATATAGAGATATATATGATGGTTTTAATGATGTGCAAGAAAAAAAAGACATAAAGAACGAGTAGAAAAAAGAAAAAAAGAAAAGAGCAATGCTCTCTTCGATGTCATGTATATGTATCTGTATAACAAGCGTATAACGATGTCGTCCATCCATCGAGAGGAGGGAACAAAATGGTGAGAAAAGATCGATCAATTGGTCATTGAAAGGAAACATACAACTATATTTATGTATATTCTAATATGTTTGTAGAATAAATATTGTTTAGAATACAACGAAGATAATTATATATATTTATAAAAGATAAAATGAATAAAAAGTTGATATGAAAGATATTTATGTTTGTGACTTACAAAAAAATTTTTTTTTTCTTTTTTCTTATGAACAATCAGAAGAGAAGTCGTCAAAATAGGTGCAGAAAGAAAAAAGAGAATGGAAAGAAAGGAACAACAGAATAGACAAAAAAAAAGGTAATTCGTCATTTCAATTGGATGAAAAGTGATGACAAGCAACGAACACCTATTTAAGAGGGCGCCGAAGAACGGAGTAAGAAAAAAAAATATGTTCACACTTTATTTAAGTGATTTTAAGTGTAAAGATCGAAGCAAAAAAAATTTAAATACTTTATTTGTTGAGTATAATATCGTTTTGTATGATATTCAATTCAAAGAATTTGTTTGAATAATATTCGTAAAACCAATATGAATAAATAAATTTGTTTGTCATATTTTTTTTTTTTAGTGTATGATTAAATCTTAGAATTTTTCTATCTGTATATACAAAACATTCGAATCGAAAAAAATTACGTAAGATATGAACTTTATTGTGTGATTATAAGAAAAAATTTTTAATTTATTTTGTTGTTACATTTTATGTACAAAGGTATGAATTGATTATTCATTTCTATTTTATCAACTGACAGCAATTTATCAGTCTGACAGTCTGTATGTGGTGATCATGTAGATAAACAAAAGAAAAATATATAACAAATATTTTCGTTTTTGCATATGAAACCACAATCAATTCATTTTTTATCATTTTCGAGCGACCCACCAAAGTAAAGTTTTTTATTGGTTTGATCCCATAACGACTACTTTTTGTTTTTCTTGATATATTATATGACTCATGTTAATAAAAATTAATCGTTGAAATAATAAATTTGTTTGTGACATTTTTTCAGCTTGTGGTTAGCTTTCATTTTGTACTGTGACCTCCGTTCGATATTCTGAAGAAAATTTGTCCGAGAAATTGTTATATGTAATGAAAGAAATTCATTGAAAAGAAGAAAAGCTGAAATCGCAAAAACCTCATGATTATAAACAGTCTTATGACATGAAATAAGTCAAAAAAAAAACAGAGGAACAGTCATGCGTCGAATTGTGTTTATCAAGCATGAAGTTTTTCGGTTTTGAATTCAGCGATAAATATAATGATAAATACTCATTTTAGAATGAATTATTTTTATTTAGATTGAATCGAGCAACAACAAAGTGAATAGTGAGAATTTCATTTTTAAATCAATTATTATTTTTCTTTTATTTAAATAAAATAGAACAACAAATGGAAGTTTGGGTATTTTATTAAAAAAAAAATTTTATTGTATTATTCGAATCAATTTAAACAATAGATTAGATAGTAAGTATTGAGAAAATAATATTTTGTGTGTTTAATGAGTAAGAATAAGTTCCTCGTTGTCAAATGAGCGGAAGCCTATGTGAATACAATGCCACATCGTGTCATATACTCTCGTTTAAGACAGTTGTAATGCTCGTTCTGAGAGTAAAGGAATCGATGGATACGTTTAATTAATGAAATGAATATCAATAGATAATTAGTTTTATAAATTTATTTTAGATAATCATAAGATTAACGAATGCAGTGTTAGTCATTATAATTTTTTCTGGAAGCTCTCTCTATATATATATATTGAATATAATAAGATCTAGTAAAATTTTCGATTCAAATCAAAATGAGTACTTCAAATCAAAAACAATGTTTAAATCGAGAATATTATTTATGTATGGAAAAATATTTTCAACGTCCAACGAATCTTCTTCAACGAGTTTATGAAAAACAGGTTGTACTTGAAAATATTTTTACTCGAGGTATTACAGCATATGGAACTGTGCGTGTTAACAATCGTTCATTTCATAAAAAAGTTTCGTAAAATGTACAATCGATCAATGGAAGAATTTTTCTGTTATTAATGCATATCATTCAATGTATTATTCAGATGGTAATACTGACTCATTTCAATTTAAATTAACTGTACCAAAAGATAAATTATCCATATTATCTTCACAAAATTCTACATCACCAATGTATGTTTTATTTGCTATTTGTTATGCTGTTGAAGGAGAAGAATTTTGGGATAATAATTATTCTTGGAATTACAGACTTGAAATAGTAGAAAAGTAAGCATGTCCTATTCTTATTGATAGAGACTTAATGAGTCTTTATCGAAAATCGCGAGCCAGAACATTTATGGTAGATCATTTCGACCTTCGAGAACGGCATATTTATTGCATTAGTTTTTACAACCACTCTAGTAGCTCATTTTACGGGTTATTTTTTTTTTTGCTGGCAAACGGTTATTGTTCGTCCTAAGAGTCTCCCAGAATTCGCCGTTTTCTTCTTGACACAATATTCTTACTAGCGCTCTCGATCTCATATCGGTGTTGGTTTCTTGAGCTAGTCAGATCGATGAATACAGTTATCCATATTTTTATCGTAAGTTTGCTTGATACAGCACGTAAACGTACTGTATTGTTCAATCTGTACAACCAAAAACACGAAAGTCTTGGAACAAAATATTTGCGCGTTTTTTCAGACAACTAGTTACAGTCAGAAAGAGAATTTGCTCGCAATATCCAAATACATGTGTTCAGATTTTCTTTCTAGGATAAGATTGAACAACTAACACTAAATTTAGGGAAATGTGCGATTTTGTTTTTCTACAAAGTAACATAGCGATTTCTGTGTGAACCTTAGTTTATGTCTTGGAATAGCTTCAACTGAATGTATTTTGAAAAACATTGAAATTTATATAAAACAAAATATTAAAATAAGTGAAATTTCATACTGCCAAAGAGCTAATTTCAATAGAAGTTGATAATTGCTGTTCAAAAAGCGACTTTTAAATATCTATCATGCAAAAGTAAACAACACGCTTTTTAGAGCAATTTAAACTACAAAAAAGTGCTTTGCATTTTAAATTTTATAATTTTCAATAGAATTATAAAATAGTATTCTGCAAAACTACTATCTTGAAATAATAGAATGATACTTATTCAATCTTACCCCAGAAAGAACGAAAAAGTTTGATTCCAACTAACTGCATTTGGCTTCAACTATCTGCTGAAAAATGAGTGAATATTTTGTGTCAAGATTTTGATGTCATTGGTTATGTATTCTGTAAAAATGTTTATTTTCAATGAACAGCATTGATTTTGTAGCTGAAAATCTGTGAAAGCGGATTTTTTTTCAAAGATTTATTATCTCAGTATAAGAAAATAAAACATGATGAGCTATCATAATTCTGTATCTAAACCAGTTTTAATCATCGGTATCATTAGAAATTTTCCACAGACTTCCTTCTTACTTGATTACTTTCATCTTCACAAGATTAATTTTATCATTACCGAGGTCAAGTTTTATGCCAGTATATATTAACTCTAATTTATTTATTTTATAATAGTACACAAAAAAGAACTAACTCCATAATAGATCAATTATCTATAAGAAAATCTATTATATGTGATGCTATACTATGTAGACAAATTGCACAAGATTATCAAGCAATTTCTAATGAATTTCGACAAGTAGGAAATATATGTGGATTGAAAAATCTTGGCGGAACATGTTATATGAATTCTGTTTTGCAATCATTATTATTTACTTCATCATTAACAAATTACTTTTTGTTGTATGAAAATACTCAAGATAGTATTATGAACAATTTATCAGTTTCAACAGAAATACTAGCTAGTGAATATTTGAATTTATTATATTTATTATATTGCGGTGAATATACTGTTGTAACACCAGCACCATTTAAACAAATTATTGGTCATATGCATCATACTTATATGGAAAATCAACAACAGGATGCACATGAATTTCTTATATTTTTACTTGATTATTTACATAAAGATTTGAATAGAGTAATAATATTAATATTGATAATAGACAAAAAAAAAAGAATCTTTTCTTTTATTCTCATAGATAAAATATACTGGAATATTAAATAAAACTCCGGAAACCGAACAGAATTCAATTAATCCAATAAATAATCATTCCATTATTGTTGACTTGTTCTATGTAAGTCTTGTTAGTCTGATCTCCGAAGAATTCAAATGTGAAACATGACTTAGTTTTGCTTACTAATCACAAGGGAATTGGGTTATTTTATCTTCGATACATTATTCATATGCGATCTGTAAGCGTCTGGGAAGAGAGAGGATGGGTACAAATTTTTACCTGTTTAGTTCAACATTAGAGCTGTATGACACTAATTTTAGTTCTAATATCGGTACCCAAGATCAGGATTGCGACTACGACAAAAATTTGTCTCAACCGGAACTAAAAATTCTAGTTAAATATCCAATATTTTAAGCAAGTTACCTAATAAATCACCAACCAGAGCATAATTCAAGAAAGATAACTCAGATGTGATACAAATAAATTCTAAAATACACTTTTCTAGGCTAGAACTACTAGAAAATAAACAATCGGAACCAAATAAAACTTAGTCTTATATATCTGTATTCAACACTCCTTTGAAATCGAGTTTCACGAAAAAGAAAAACATCTTTAATATTTTTCTGCTATTTTTCTATCAAGGGTACCTATCTATCAACAACAACATGTTTAGATTGTATGTATACTTCACGTAATTATGAACCATTTATTTGTCTTACTCTTTCAATTCCATCAACAAATCAATGTACATTAGAAGATTGTCTTAAACATCTCAATGAAGATGAATATTTAAGTGATGATTCAAGATGGTTTTGTATGTAGAAAATAATTAGAATAGATATAAATATCTAAATATATTTTCTAGGCCCTGAATGTCAATGTTTTTGTAATGGAAAAAAACGTTTAGAAATTTATAAATTACCAAAAATATTAATTATTCAACTTAAACGGTAAGAATAAATGAAGATAAATTAATAAATATATTCAAAATATTTTGAAAAAAAAATATCTAATATAGATTTCAAATAAATTATGAAATGGATTGGATTAAAAATAATACTCTTGTAATTTATCCTGAGGATAATCTTGATTTACATACATGTTGTTCTTCATCATCTTCACAACAATTATCTTATACACTTTATTCAGTTATTAATCATGATGGTTCATTAAATGATGGACATTATACAACATTTTGTCGTGATACTTTGCGTGATCAACAACAATGGTTTGAATGTGATGATGAAATAATAAAATATTTACATCCAGATAAATTATATTTAAATTCAAAAGCTTATCTCTTATTCTATATGATGAAGTAGATAACAAAATCAACGAACATGTCATTTTTTTTTTAAATTATTTTTATAGTTGCCTATTGAATATGACGACAAGCATGATTATACAGTTTCGATTATCTTGATTTTGTTATGTTTAGCCAAGCGTCAAAATGATTAAAAAAAAATATATATTATGCATATAATTCATTTTTTTTTTCTTCTTTTTAACTTGTTAAGAGAACACAGAAGTCATTCATTCTTCGTATCCCAACTTTCTATATGTTTGAGAATACAGATCAGTGACACGAACTGTGAGATCTCGATCCCACTTATACTTTTATTTGTATATCTCTGTTCGTAATCTCTCTTCTTACACAAAACTTAGCACTTTATATATAATCATAAGAAGAGTTGGAAAATTCCTACAAACGATGAACACGGAAAAATCCATATATAACAAACAAAAGACAGAAGGATACAACGAAATGGAAAATTCTAACATGTATAGAAGAAAAGGAGCAATCTATGAAAGGTGACTAACAATAAGAGAAAAGAAGAAGAACATGTATAGATAGAGAGAGAAAAATTCTTATGATTGCATCTGAAGAAGATGCGAATCATAACACGAACTTATTCAAATTGTTTTCATGAAACGAGAATTATCATTAATTGCATCTATTCATCATTTTAATTTTGTATTTCTGGAAATAAAGAGCTTGTTAAGTTGATCG